GGAATTGAACTCAGGACCTTGCACCAAGCAAGCACTTATTCTACTGAGCTATCTCCCCGGCCCCTAGAATACATTTAGAGTTAGAAAGTCCTGGATTAAAAATTTTAGTTCACTGATCTGAGAAAAAAGAACTAAGTCTCTGGATTCTAGATGGTTTAATTTTTTTAATTTTTTTTTCATCAAAGGGAAGGATAGTACTCACCTTACAGGTTAATCGTAAGGGACACACAAGAACTTCTCCCCATTTGTAATTTCACTTTTTACAAACATCTTTTAGAAAATGGCCTCACATCTCTCCAGACTCAAAATATACATTATCTTATGCTCTAGAGATACATATACTACCATTTTGATAGGAAAGCCCAGGCAGGGGCTCTAGCCATTCTTACCCACAGACCACAACCATCACTGAAAGAAAAGTCTTCAACCAGGACCCAGGACTTCATGTCATTAAGAACACTTGGAGCTTTTACTGTTCAACTCTTGTCACAGTTTTTTCCTAAACAGCTGCATAAATGCAAAGTTTCATCCGGAATTCCTGTGTAACCTGAACTCAGCAACTTGGTGCAGGGCATCCAGGAGATGAAAATCCATTCCCTCAACTTTTCAAAAGTAAATTTTCCCCATGCAATGCCATGAAGGACTCTTCCTTCTCCCACTCCAGAAATGTACTCACTTTACAGATGGCAGAACTCAACAGGCAAGACCAATACAGCAGATTAGTATACTAAGACCATCCAAATCATCCTGAGTGTTTCTAGAAGTGACTGATGAATTCCATGAAATATCTACTTTGCAGAAAGCATGGGAACATTTCCACCACCTTTAGCACAGTCTATCACTTAGGAAAAAGAGTACTTCTTCTGTATTTGGTACAGGGTCTCACTACACAGCTCAGAATCATAGTGATCCACGTTTACAGCCTCCCAAGAGGGGCACATTCTACCACGCCTCAATTGCATTCTCAGCAAACCCCAGGGGCAGGGTTGGGTGGGGGATCATGGCAGGCCTGGGGATCGAACCCCCAGCCCATGCACCTGCTTGCAGGCGCTTTAATCCATTGAGCTACTTGGCTAGCTCTCTTAGCATTCAGATTTAAAAAAAAAAAAACAAAAAAAAAACAACTCAGTACAATTTCTCTGTGATATGCACACCACAATGCCACAAAGTCTCCTTGGAACAACTAGCCTGCAGAGAAAGCACATGCCAACAATTTTCCCAGGAGCTGTTACAGATTCAAAACCACCCACACTCTCTCACCTGATTCCTGTCTATGATTAAGAACTCAGAATTTTATAAAATAGACTATAGCTAATGGGAACAAGTAACATTAGCCAACACAAACAAATGAAACCTTACCACACCAGCTGCACCCAGCATGGTGGCACACACCTGTAATCCCAGCACTCAAGAAAGGCTGAGGCAAGAGAGGACTGTTGCAAGCTCAAGGTCAGACTGGATCATGTAATGAGTTCAAGACCAGCCTGGACTACATAGCCAGACCACAACTTTAAATAAAATAAAGTTTAAAAAAAGTTGGCCCTCCAAAAATATTATCTTCCTTATACAAATTATCAAGGGTAAAAGCAAACATATATGTACCCTGCAGAATTTTTTTTTTTCCGGAATTGGGGATTCAACTCAGGCCCTGGTGCTTGCCAGAGAAGTGCTTATTCTACTAAGCCATCTTCCCGACCCTGAAGAAAACCCAAAAACAGCCCACTTATCATTTTATTCTTCAGAAGTAACTAAATACTTCCCAATAAACTCCTTCCAGACTATTCTATCGATGTGGATTTGAAGCTTGCATAAACACCCTTGTATAACATTAAAAAGCCATTATGTCTTGACTATCACCAAAACTATAGAGAATGGAAATGTTTAGTAATTTCAGTAGGAATATTTCTATCACAATCAGAAAACATTTCAGTATGTTTGGAGTCTCTGACCAGGTAACTTCCCCTTACTCAGTTTCAGGACCTCTAGTAGATGTCTGAAACTGAAAACAGTACCAGAACTAAAATACGCTGCATATACGCATATATATATATAAAGATTAACTCATAAATTAGGCAAAATAACAGACTGGCAACCAACAAAAGAACAATTACAACAATAATATCCTGTAATAATGTTAAGTGAGATAGAGTATGTTGGTGCATTCCTGTAATCCCAAATCCCAGTACTCTAGAGAGCTCAAAAAGGAGGACTCTCTTAGTAACTTAAGAGAAACTGTCTCAAAAATAAAAATAACAGGGCCAGGGAGATAGCTCAGTAGAATAAGCGCTTGCCTGGGAAGTGCAAGGGCCTGAGTTCAATCCCCAGTTCTGAAAAAATAAAAAAAAATTGGAAAAATAAAAATAATAAAGATGGGGATATGGAACTCAAGAGAAAAGCCCCAATTTCAATTCACAATACTGAAAGAGGAAAAAATAAAATAAAGAGGCTGGGGATGTAGCTCAGTTACAGGGCCCAGGATTCAATCCCTATTACTAACAAAAAAAAAAAACAAAAGTGAGTGTGGTCTCCCTCTCAAAAAATCTTATACTCAATTCCTTCTCCTTGTTGACAGCAGTAACTAAAACTGCCAAGACTAAAATTGAAGATGAGCAAAGATTAGTCTATAAAGCTTACAAAACATAAAGACCCAATTATTAGAAACTATAACACTAAAGAAAAATAAAACTCTAAGTAGAAGACATACCATGTTCATGAGTTCATATCATGAAGATGTCATTTCTCCTCCAACTACTTTATATTTTCATTGCTATCCAAATCAAATATTCCAGCAGAGTTGGGGGTTAGGGGGTAACATTGGTAGAGACCTTGCGTATCATGTGTGAGACCCTGAATTCAATCATCATCACCACACAAATAAAATTTAAAACTCCAGCAAGATTCTTGCAGATATCAACAATGATTCTAAAATATGCATGAAAAGGCAGTGGAACTAGACATCCAAAATCAATTCTGAAAAATCACACAATAAAAGAACTCAATACCTCATTTCAAGATTTACTATTAAACTACAGTAATAAAGAGTGTAGTAATGGAGACATGAAACATAGGTCATTATTCAAAAAGAATCCAGGAACAGGCTCACAAGTGTATATGATCAACTTTCAAAGCGCAAAATTAATTCAATAAAGAATGGATTTTAACACATTGCTGGAATAAATCAGCATCAATATTTAGGAAAATAAATCAATATTTAGGAAAAAAACCTTTAAGCTAGATATGGTGGTGCATGCCTACAATCCCAAAACTTGGGAAGCTGAGGCAGGAAGATCACTGAGTTCAAGGCCATATAAGAAATCTGGGCTATATATGAAATTCAGTGTCAGCCTCCACAGCATAGTGAGACTCTGTCTCAAAAAAACAAAGCCTTCATACCTGACATCACTTAGTAAAATTCAAACAATTCATAATCCTAAATGTAAAATTTAGCCAGGTGCAGAGACATATACCTATAATCCCAGCACTCAGGAGGCTGAGACAGCAGGATCATGGGGAGGTGGAGACTAGCCTAGGCTACATAATAAGTTCAAAGCCCACGTGAATTACATAGCAAGATCGTGTCTCAAAAAAGAGAAATTCTCCTCAAAAGACATTAAGAGAATAAAAAGTGACAGAACAGGAAAAACAATTTGCACACTATAATCAAACAACTCTTTTTTTTAAAATGGGCAATTTTAAATAAATCACCAAAGAAAGGTAAATAAATGATCACAGGACAACATACCTGATGGACATCATTGTCACTGGGTCAAAAATAAAAGGTTACTAAATTCTGTACAATCCCATTTATATCACATTCTTGGAAAAAAGCACAAATCATGGAGACAGAAAACAAATCCAATTTCTAGGGTCTAGGGTATGAAGAATGGGTTGATTACAAAGGAGCTCGGGCTCAGAAGAATTTTGGAGGGTGAAGGAATTATTGTATTTCAAGTACTGGTTATAGGAATTTACACATTTGTCAAAACTCACATAGTGGAGGCTGAGGAGATAGCTCAGTGGAATAAGTGCTTGCCTGGCAAGCACAAGGTACTGAGTTCAATCCATGGTACCACCAAAGGAAAAAAAAAAAAAAAAAGGAATACCACACTTTTTCTGGAGAAGTCCAGACAGTAAATATTTTCCACACTGTAGACCATAGTCTGTGTTAACTGCTCTAGACTGCCTCTGGAACACAACCCAACCACAGACAATATGTAAATACATGGGTGTGGCAGCACTTCAATAAAACTTTAGATAAACAGGCAGCAGGCCAAATCTGGTGAGAGAAAACTAAGTTCCAGGAACTGAGAGTATCATACAGGTTGCCTCTAATAATGGTCCTGCCTCAAAGGGGATATCATTCTAGAAAATGACAACAATGTTCTAATTCTTGATTGTGCTGCTAAGTTATAAGCATGGATATTTTGTCAAAACTCATTAAACTCTACATACTTAAAATGAGTGCATCTTATGTGAATAACTCATTTTTTAAATGCACTCTTTCTACATGGCCTTTAGTGCTAGAATAATGAAACTCAAATTTCAAAACAATGACCTACTAGTTGTATGGCCACTGCCAAGCCACTGTAGGATTTCAGTTTTCTGATCCTAAAATGATTATCTCTCCCCCAAGGATTTAAGAAATGTTGGTAAAATACAGTGCAACATCTGGCATATAAGACGCACACTTCCCAGAGTATGAGACTGGGTGTGGTGCTTTACTATTGAGTAAAGCAATGTTTAAATTTTAAATAACAAAATCACAGATCAGACAACTACAAACTCTTTTGTAGTCTTCTAAAATACATCCTTTGCTCACTGTTTATTGTGGTTTCACCTGACTTCAAGCACTGACACCCAGTATGAGTTCCTGTGAGTTCACAGTCGTGTGGGTATAACAGTAAGCACTATGAACTGAATTTCATTTACTTTAGAAAACATAAAGGTACAAGACATATAGTGAAAGGGAAAGAAACTACTTAAAAGGAAAGAACTGAGGTGGGGGGGGAAAGATACATGTATATACAAACATGATAGCTAAGAAATTGTACAGCTGATATCTATTGGTTCATTGACCGGAATAGTTAGTGCTTATATTGTTTGATCAATTTTGCACTCCTGTGTCTAGTAATGTGAGCAACTACTTGAAGATAACAATATTCAATATAATAACCATTGTTAATTTCCTATCATGTTTTGAAATTCTGTAGTGTTTTTATCGTTTTCTCTCCTTAAAATAAAACAAAAATTCCATAATACATTGTAAAGAAAATGAGAAGAACCCAAAGTAAAAAGAAAAAATAACCAACTCTCTTGAACAAGAATGGCAACCAAAAAAATTCTATTTTCTTTTAATTATCTTCTATAGAAAAAAAAAAAAAGTTGCGTGTTTTCCTCCTTTTACGTTACTATTTGAGTTTTATCCAAACCAGCAGCCAACCAAAGACATTATACTGCCCGCAGCATTTGCATACACTTCTCTCATGTTTTCTCAATGGTATTCATTAGATAGGGTAAGAATGTTAATTTTTATTTAATAAAGGTACTAAGTCAAATAAAGTGGCTTACTCAAGACCACATAATCAACAAATGGCAAAGTGTGACTGTGAAGTCAGATCCTGTAGCTCCCTATCATCTTGGGTTCCACACAATCTTTTTCTAACTCTTAGGGGCCTGTCTCTAACCTGACCTTTTTAGTTAAAAAGACCAATTAACTGCAATGTGTCATATTGAATTCATAACCATTGGGGAATATTTGGTTATTCTGAGTGGCAGAGGTTAATTCTATGGGCAAGTAATAGTTTATGATTAGAAAATAAAAATTCAAAACTTTTTTCTAATGGAAAAGCCTACAGCGTGACATAAATGGTAAGTATCTGGTATCTTTTCCTTCTCTCCCAACTTCAATATCCATATCACACATACACACACTGATAGCCACCTTCCCTAAATACTGCACACAGCTCTGAGGAGGTAAAAAGACCATCACAGCACCAGGTCTGCTAGTACATCCTCTCAGTAAAGACTGACAAAAACTGGTTATCATTTCATCTTCTACTTATGTCACCAACATCCCAAAGGTTATCTGGAAGACTACAGACCTGAGAACATGTACATGAAACTAACAGCATCCTCCTCTCTCCCTACTTACAGAAGTAAGACATCCTGAAGGAGAGGGACAATTTCCAAATGGATGCCTGTCTCAATCAGCAGCAACTACAGATTAAGACTATTCGAGTGTACTTAATTGCTCACTTTACAAGAACACAGCATCGAAGTCCACATTTGTTCAGGTAGCTATAATGGGGATATTGTGTACCTTCACCCCAGGCATCTGATGAATAACCAGAAATCACCTTTACAGATAAGAGTTCTAAACTGTATCTCCTCTATTTGGTATTCTAAATGGAACTGGTACATCCGATTTAAGTCACTGCTTCCTTCTACAGAGCATAGTACCTTCAAAAGTATTATCTTGAAGGGAAAGTGAGGGATTTGCTAAAGTCATCGTACACGGTTACTGCACCAACACTGTGTTAACACCCAACTCAGTTCTATCTTTTTGGTTTGAGTTTGGTATGGTGATGGTGTTATCGTGTGTGTGTGTGTGTGTGTGTGTGTGTGTGTGTGTTTAGACAAGGTCTTACTATGTTATTCTCCTTCCACCTGCCTCAGCCTCCCAAGTGCTAGGATTATAGGCATATGTCATTACACTGGGCACTGTGTCCAATTCTATCTTAAGCAAGTTTGAGAAATGTCATAATCCATACCTTTAAAAAAGACTAAAGTTAAAAAAGACAAAAAGAAAAAGAGAGAAAGCTGACAAAACTCAAATATCCTATTATTGATAATAATCCAGCTATCATCATTTACTAAACTACAATGACAGAATTCTACTCACATAAACCATTCTACAAGTCCCACACAGAGGAAGACTAATAGGTGATTTAGAGAATAAAAACACCTGTTTCTATTGTCCTTCAATTCAAAGGGTATATTTTAAAAATTGCATCTTTCTGAAAAGTAAATAACTCAAGTTTCAAGAGAAATAGCAAAACCACTATACTCAGAAGTTTTGGGGGGAGGGGTTGGGGTTTTTTCTGAGACAAGGTTTTCAGGCTCCAGGCTGACCTTGAACCCACAGTGGTTTCCCTGCCTTAGCCCCCAGAATACTGGAATTCATTCAGGCTAGTGCCACCACACACAGCTTCTTTTTTTTTTTTTTTTTAACCTGGAAATGTCCCGTTTTTAATGAGAACATTAATATGCAGATTTGAGGATTAAAACAAACTCCAAGTAGGATGCTAATGACACCCAGCTTCTAGAAGGATCATTAAGAATTTAAAGTACCATCATAGTTTCTATTACTCCTAAGCACATTGTCAAGACATAGAGAAACCCCTTATATATAGTAAGAATTGAAGTTTTGAGTGGTTAAGTGTTCGAGGCTATGTGTGAATCTAGTAAGGAAAAGTGAGAATTTGAACTCAAATTTACCTAGTCCCAAAAGAGTACATTTCCTCTTAGAAATATGCTAAAATCTAATATCACAATAGAAGAATAGGCAGAGCTGTGAACGTTTTGTGCAGCAGTTCTAATAATTCCACCAAAGGAGCAGGCAGATCTCTAAATTTCTAAATTGCAATCTCGTTTTTGAAATCCAGGGCAAACAATCTAAACTCCACTTCTTCGCAAGAAGAAATCAACAGATTGAAAGAAGGGTTAAAAATCTTGCGTGCGTGTGTGTGTGTGTGTGTGTGTGTGTTTGAGACAGGGTCTCAACTCTACAGTTCAGGCTGTACTTGTATTCACTTTGTAGCCCAGGGTGGTCTCAAACTTGTAACAATCTTCCTGCCTCAGCCTCCCAGATGCTGGGATAACAGGTGTAAACCACAAGGTCCTACCAAGCTAAAACTTTTTAAAGTAATCTAAATCACATTTGTGCCAATAAATGGTCACTCTGGACAAAGCCCCAGATAATGGCTCTCTTCTGTGTGCCAGTAAAAGAACGCATTTCACCCACTTCAAACAGATGCTGAATGCCTACAAAGACTTTCTGGCAACGGGTATGAAGCTAAATAAGGCCCACCGCCGACCTCAAGGAGCTAAAAGACCAAGGAGTGCACTTCTACTAAGAGTATAGTTACCTCTTAGCCAGGCAAATACATGAACTGTGAGAAATTCTAAAACAAAAGTGTGTACAACGTACTATCACAGCCAGAAGACAGCAACTGGTGTACTTGTCACATTACTCAGTAAGTAGTATTTGTTTACGTTATGTCCCTCCCTGACGCCTTCCAACTTCTACCCACCTCCTTCACAATGCCCCCGACGCACACACACAAACCACACAGCCAGAAAAAGTAGCCAAAGAGGAGACTGTGACTCCTCAATGCCTATGCCTTTACCTTCAGCAAAGTGAAGCAAGCTGGTTTTCAAACTAAATGAAACCAAGCAAACCAGAAAAATCCAAGAATACTTCTCCATATTACTCCCTTGACAGGAGAAATTTAAGCACCACATTGCACACAGTATTTCCTAACTTTAACAGATGGCAAAGGGCTACAATTCAAATGAACATCAAATGACACTGGTCATTTTGTTCCACTGTGAAAGACATTAATCTAGTTGTACCTGCGTAATTTAAGCAAAATTATTCTCTAAATACAAAAACAAAATTCAGTGGAATGGGTACATCCCAAACTTAACAACGCTTGTACTTGATGCAACCCTCAAATCCCAAAGAAACCACAGACAAGAACAGTAACTCTGATTTATAGCAACTAATCGTAACTCCTCCACGAACTTGCAAAGAATGACCTTTCAAGAACTGAAGCATTTGTCTTGCTCTGGTCAACTCAACGGTTTAGGAAAACTGAATAAGCTGCTTTTTCTGAAAATAAAACAGGGTGGGGGGTAGTAACCAAAAAAAGGCAAACTGCTTTGTACTTTGTAGTTGCCTGAAGCAATGAACTCTCAAAATAACTTCATTATGGAGTGTAAAAAGCAAAGCATTAACAACAAAATATTGCTCAACTCAACTTTCATTGTGAATTCCTGAGTTCACAGTAGGATCTAGAAACAATGTGACGAAATCCTACTGTAATAAGTTCTTTTAAGTCTACTCTTTTTAAAGATAATATTAAAACAGCGTTTTCCGAGAGGTTTTTTTTTTTTTTTTT